GCTACTGTGAATAATGCTGCAATGAACATTAGAGTGCAGATATTTCTCCGAGACACTGATTTCCTTTTCATTAGGTATACATATCCAGAGTAGGACTGCTAGACCATATGGTAGTTCCATTTTTAATTTTTGAGGAACTGCCATAGTGTTCTCCACAGTGGCTGCACCAATTTACATTCCATCAATGGTGCACAAGAAGTCCTTTTTCTCCACATCCTCATCAATGCTTCTTGTCTCTTGTCTTTTTGATGATGGTCATTCTAACAGGTATGGGGTAATGTATCACTGTGGTTTTGATTTGCATTTCCCTGATGATTAGTGATATTGAGCACCTTTTCATGTACCTGTTTGTCATCTGTAAGCCTTCTTTGGAGAATTGTCTATTCAAGTTCCTTTGCTCCTTTTTCAATTGGGTTATTTGGTTTTTTATTTTTTTTTTACTACTGAGTTATAATAGTTCCTTTTATATTTTAGATATTAACCTCTTATCAGATAGATATATGGTTTGAAAATATTTTCTCCCATTCTATAGGTTGCCTTTTCATTTTGTTCACTGTTTCCTTTGCTATGCAGAAGCTTTTTACTTTGATGTGGTCCCACTTGTATATTTTTGCTTTTGTTGCCTGTGCTTTTGGGGTCATATCCAAAACATCATTTCTAAGACCGATGTCAAGGAGGTTATTCCCTATATTTTCTTATGGGAGTTTTACAGTTTTAGGTCTTATGTTAAAGTCTTTAATCCATTTTTGTGTAAGTTTAGGGTCCAATTTCATTCTTATGCATGTGGATATTCAGTTTTCCCAACATCATTTATTGAAGAGACTGTTCCTTTCTCCATTGTGTACTCTTGGAGCCCCTGTTGAAGATTAATTGACCACTACATATGAGGTTTTATTTTTGGGCTCTCTATTCTGTTCCATTAATCTATGAGTCTATTTTTGTGCAAGTACCACATTATTTTGATTACTTTAGCCTTGTAATACAGTTTGAAGTCAAGAAATGTGACAACTTTAGCTCTGTTGTTCTTTCTCAAGATTGCTTTGGGTTTTCGGGGTATTTTGTGGTTCTATACAAATTTTATGATTGTCCCATTTCTGTGAATAACGCCATTAAAATTTTGATAGGGATTGTACGGAGCCTGTGGATTGCTTTGGGTAGTATGGATATTTTAACAATATTCTTCCAATCTATGAACATTTTACAAAATATCTTTCCATTTATTTATGTCTTCAATTTCTTTCATCGGTGTTTCATAGTTTTCATTATACAGATCTTTCACCTCCTTGGTTCAATTTATTTCCAAATATTTCATTCTTTTTAATGCTATTATAATTAAAATTATTTTCTTAATTACTTTTTTGGATAGTCTGTTGTTAGTGTATAGAAATGCAACTGATTTTTTTTTTTGAAATTTGAGCTTGTATCCTGCAACTTGACTGAATTCATTTAATAGTCCCAAAAGTTTTTTGATGGAGTCTTTAGGATTTTCTACATATGAGATCATGTCATCAAACAGATCTTACTTCCTCCTTTTCAATTTGGTTGAAATTCAGCTGGTTAAGGATCCAACTCTTGATTCCGACTCAGGTCATGATCTCAGGGTCGTGAGATTGAGCCCCTCATTGGGCTCCATGCTGGGCGTGGAGCCTGCTTAAGATTCTCTCCCTCTCTCTCTGTCCCTCACCCCCCTAACTTAACAAGATTAAAATTATATCAAGTATAGTTTCTGATCCCAATGGTGTGAAACTTGAAACCCGTAAGAAGAAGAAAAGTGGAAAATTTACAAATCTGTAGAAATTAAACAACATATTTGTGAACAACCAATAGGTCAAGGAAGAAATCAAAAGGTATCTTGATACAAACAAAAATAGAACACAACGTACAAAACCTAATGGGATGCAAAAATAATAGGATGCAACCAAAGCAGTTCTAACAGGGATGTTTATAGCAATAAATGCCTACATTAGAAGAAAGAAACATCTCAAATAAACAACCTAACTTTACAGCTCAAGGAACTAGAAAAAGAACATACTAAGCCCAAGGAGCAGAAAGAAGGAAATAACAAAAATTAAAGATATAATAAATGAGACAAGAAAGATAATAAAGAAAGATAAATGAAACGAAATGGGTTTTTTGAAAAGATATACAAAATTGACAAACCTTTAGCTAGACTACCCAAGAGAAAAAGACAGATGGCTCAAATCAAATTATAAAGAAAGAAATTAAAACTGATACTACAGAAGTGACAACTATACACACTTACATGCCAACAACTGGATGACCTAGAAGAAATGGATAAAGTCCTAGAGACATACAACCTACCAAGACTGAATCATGATGAGACAGATAATCTGAACAGACCAATCAATGAGAAAGGAGACTGAATCAGTAATTAAAAACCTCCCAACAAATAAAAGTCCAGGACCACATGGCTTTGCTGGTGAATTCTACCAAACATTTTAAGAATTAATGCCAATCCTTCTCAAACTCTTCCAAAAAACTGAAGGAGAAGGAACACTTCCAAACTCATTTTATGAGGCCAGCAATCCCTCATCATATCAAAACGAGATAAGGACACTCTAAGAAAACTACAGGCCAATAGCCCTGATGAACAATAATGTAAAAATCCTTGACAAAATACTAGCAAACCAAATTCAACAGAACATTAAAAACATCATACACTATGATTAGTGGTATTTATCCCTCGGAAGCAAGGATGGTTCAACATATGCAGATAAATCAACATGACACAACAAATTAACAGAATGAAGGATAAAAAAAGCCTATGACCATCTCGGTGCAGAAATAGTATTTGACAAAATTCAACACTCTTTTTCTTCCCAAAGATCCCAATGTATTAGATCATGAAATGTCTTCCAAATAATCAAAGAAATATGAAATATTTAATTATGAGTGATAAATATATTGTTTTATTTTCATTTTTAAATTGATACATGGACATTTCATCAGAAGACTAGGCTGCAGAGGTAACTAACTTATGCAACAAGATTACAGAAACTTATTGCATTGGCTTTTCAAACATAAGAGAGACTGTACATACTCAATGACTTACTTAAGCTTGCTAATGACTACAAATATTTTACTGACAAATTGGAGTTCAGATATTATAAAGGGGGAAAACAATTTTCATGGAGGTCTACTCTTTTCGTCTAAGGGATGAGAAATTTATTTCAAAGTTATAAAAATAAGCAGCAAAGAAATGAAACTTCTGGAAGCAACAGTGGTTTCAAAAGAGCAGAAATGAAAGGAATAGAATGTTGACAGGAAACACCGTAAGTGGAATGAAACAAATCTATTTCTAAAGCTGGGGAATCAGGTTGTAGGTCCTACAAGAGCTGCGTGGAAAGTAACTAGATATGCAAATGTCCTTCAGAAGGCCTTGCAGGAAGTAGTGTGGATGTTTCAAATGTAAAACCTACAAGTATTTTTTTTTTTTTTTTTTTTAGATTTTATTTATTTATTTCTTTGACAGAGAGAGACATAGTAAGAGAGGGAACACAAGCAGGGGGAGTGGGAGAGGGAGAAGCAGGCTTCCTGTGGAGCAGGGAGCCCGATGTGGGGCTCGATCCCAGGACCCTGGGACCATGACCTGAGCCGAAGGCAGTCGCTTAACAACTGAGCCACCCAGGCGCCCCAAAACCTACAAGTATTAAAACACCTAGAGACTGTATCCCTGTTTTGGTAAATACTAGATGGGATTTTAAGGTCAGACAAAGCCAGGAGCTCTGCATACTTGAGCTGTTAGGGTAATTCATCAGGGGCAATATGCAAATTGGACTGTGAATATGCTTAGGGCTTATTTTGTTTTTATAGACAGCAACAACTGGCTGTGTCTTCTGGGGAACACTTGTGAGCATTATCTGAGAGTGCTGGGAACCTCCAGAGCCACGGCGTGTGGTGCAGAACAGGCCACTAACGCAGAGTGTGTCTTCTAAACTTTGAATCTAGATTTCTTTCCCAGAGGTTGAGTTCAGTACAATTCTGGCCTTGAAATTACAATTCTTAAATTATCTGAGAATTCTTCCATGAAACTTGGGGGGTATCTAGAACATTTTTTAAAAACAAGTGCCGTTCAGTGCTCCGACAGAGCAACAAATGAACCCCTCATTAGTGGCATCATAAATTAAGCTTCCTGACACTGAATGACTGCCTCCTCCCTCTACACCCCTACAGGCCTCCCGTCTGATGCCTGGTATCTGTCGGCTGGGACCCAGGCCTGCCTCTCATGCACTGTTGTCAGGAACTCTGAGCTGGAGCCTGGCAAAAGTGAAATGGAAAGGAGGATTTGGCAGGAACAGACCCGTGGGCCACACACCATTATGATTCCCAGGCATGGCCAGGTCCTCGACGCAGAGCCGGCTATCCCGCCAGGAACGTTTTTCTGTATTAATAACTAGAAACAATTCTTGGAATACATAGGGTATCATGTCTCCAATCCTTACAATCTAGTGTTAAATTTAAAAAAAGCAGGACAGAGTAAGATTCCAACTCACTAAAAAAAAAAAAAAAAATCAACCACCCCTTATAGACACAGATGGAGAAGTAAGGGTGAAGGTGTTAACAACTGTTTGGGGCCACAACCTCTGAAAATAAGTCAAAAGAGCACTTTTTTATAGGATACGAGGGAGAAGTCACCAAAAAGGATGATTTTCCTTTTCATGAAAAACTATGTCCAGACCCCACAGGCCACTCTCTTCCCAAGGACAACTGCAATGCTGTTCTGAGAGCTTCACTCCCAAGGGCGTCCCCGGGCTTTAAGGCCAGACTCCCCATCTCTTTCTCTCCACACTTTTTCGAGAAGAAGCAAATTTATCTGCTTTTTTATCTGCAAACCAAGTTAACTTAGCCCCATGTCAGGATTTAACATCTGAATTCTTTTAAAGTTTAGCAACTGATATGAAAGATTTATGTTATAAAGACAGATGCTTTACTTCCATCTTTGATAAAACTGATTTATTCCGAGAATGTAAGTGGTGCACTTACCCAGAAGAGGATGAGTATCTTCTCCAATGGTCAGGCTCATACTGTCTATTTCCTGCACCAAAGAGATATGAAAACCAAAACTCAGTTAATTACGTTTCTCTAAAATTCAAAGAGAAAAAACTGCACATTTCTAAGCATGTATAAAAACAACATGCTGAGTTGTATTTGGAGGACAGCACTTCATTCTCTTTTCTGTTGTGGCCACTGTCACTAAAAGTTTGTTGCACAATTATTCCATTAGAGTAGGAAGCAATTAATTAAGAGGTGGCTCTGCTGATAGAAGGAAGCAGCGTCCCAACTGCTCCTCCAAATGCCAGTTCCAAGCACCTGCACGGTGTACAGACAGCCTCCACTGCCAGTGACACCTGGAAATGCATCTGCATGTGCAGATGGCTCACAGGACACTTAGCCAAGGACGGAGAAAGCAATGTGTGGCTCTTTCTACAGCTGAGTGCAGAGCCCCCCATCCCTGTGTAGCTGGCCACTTTTCACCTTCCGCTACACAGGGAGTGTTGGGCGAGAACCAGAAGAGAGCCAACCTGCCAGTAAAATAGGTGGTTGTTTTCACATTCAGAAAATAACACTTTTCCTACAAAGCTTTCCGTGCTTCTGCTTGACTGATGATGCCCACGCCTCTCCCGCCGAGGGCAGCCTTTGTGGCCCAGCCGCTCCGGCAAGTGGGAGGCTGGCAGGGGCTTTGGCCAAGGGCTGCATGGTGGGAGAGGGTCACAGTAAGGCCACAGCGAGGTTTCCAGGCCCCACCTTGTTACCACAGATGATCAGAGACAGTTTTACAACAGCCCAGGCCTCCTACAGAATTATCACCGACAAGTGAAAATCTGAAGAAATCACAGGCAAATGTGATTTGCTACTGACTGTGGAATTTAACACATCATTTCTCACCAACAGCAAGAAGGAGGTTAAGATGTTCTCACCGTAGAGGCTTTGAAGTTCCCGGCCCCAGGGAGGCAGGGAGGTTGCCACCTCTGCTGGTCCTGGGTCCTCTCCCCAGTTCACAGGCCAGGAAGCACATGCTTCACAGGGAGGCTGTTGCCTCTGGCCTTTCCCTGCCTGGCCGACAGTGGGCCAGGCTCACGGGGGCGGCGACGCCCGCCACTGCTCCTCCTTCTCCTCCTCCCTCCTCCCTGACTGTCTCACAGTGATTCAATACACTCATTCTGAGGCATTTTCAGTTTGACTTAAACAAAGAATTTTGTCTGTTAACTCTGTCCGGGAAGTATTGACAACTTTCTACTTAGACTACTTACATATCTCTAAAAAATACTAAAATAGGATTTCAAAGGTGGACATAAGCCCGCAAACGTGCGTGGGCCAAGTAAAAATGATGGAATTCTATCACAATGATGAAACTGAGAAAGTGGATCTCCTGACCTTAAACAGTGTTCCAGTTCTAATAAAAGATTGTATGTGAGTGTGTGTGAACATGTATCGCGTACAGAGATATCTGAAATTAGATAACATATTGGTACTGCCAATGAAACTTTTGTGAACATTCCTCCATGTGAGACAAAACGCAAATGATACACACTGTCCTTGCTTAACTACGGCCTTGCCAGAGACTTTTAATTTCTTGCACCTCCATGCCCAAATTTTTTTTTCTTTTAATTTTTTGAGGGCAGCCAACACGATGTTCCATTGGTTCAGGTGGTCGACAAGTGGTTCTGCAAGTCTGCGTGTTCTGCGGTGCCCGCCACGGCCTAACTGCCATCTGTCGCCACGTGCACCTGACGACACCAGCGACTGCTCCCGAAGCCTGCACCCCCACCCCAAATTCTGAAACCTGGCCCTGACTCAGCACTCACCACTGCAACTTTGCCCTTGACCTGAGGTCTCGCAGGGCATGGGTTTCAGCCCCGAGCCCTCCCGCACCACCGTCCCGTCTTCCGTGTGACCACCGTGGTCCTATCCCCTGAGAAGGGATTGCCTGCAAACCAGGACACCTGGGAAAGCGTCAGGCTCTGGCTGTTGCATCTGTTATGGTCTCCTTGCTTCTACATAACCAGAACAGAAGACGGAAGACATGCTTCTGTAGGCCTCGCACCCAGTCTGACACACATCCTAAGCGTTCCAAACGTTCCCTGAAATTTCGGGTGGTCATGTACATGGGGGAACGCCTGGAGGCTCTGTCATCTGCTCAGGTCAGGTCACTGGTGAGTGGTGGGTCCTGCCTGTGAGAACCCACTGCAGCAAGCTTCCTCCGGGAAAGAGCAGACATATGAAGACACCTCCAACACTCACTGCTCTGAGAGGCTCGAATTCAAGGACCCAGTGGGGCCACTGCACCTGGCTTGCCTGGAACCCCAGGACTCAGAGCTGGCAGGACACCAAAGGCTGCCCAGGCTGGATGCTGCTGACATGGCAAGGAGCACAGTCTAGGGAGCGTCTAAGGGGAGGCATGCATGCATACGTGTTGGCTGCGTGCGCCACCACAGGCACACACCCTAGCCAAGGGCCACAGCTGATGTGCTCATCTCCCCAAAGACTCGTGGTCTCTCTCCCACCCGTTGCCAGGCTTAACCGGCAGCCCTCCTCACCCTGACTTTGTATTGTCTCAGGTTTCCTGAATTCCTGAGACCCAGCAGGAAGAAAAGGAGACAAGCCCAGGCCAGAGAGGATTAAGAGGAGTGTCACCGTTTCCCACACCAGTGACAGCAGGGACCCTGGGGAGGACTTTGTCATCTGCTTAGAGGAAACACAGGGAGGACTATGCACGCCCCATCGTGTCAGGCTGCCTGAAAGATGTCCAGCATGCCTTCCCTCACCCTGCTTTCCTGAGCTAGGTGGGTGCCTTCTAATCCTCACCTAGAGGGGCCAGGGTCGTAGGTGTCTGACACCGCAGCTTTAAGGGTGACAGGTACCCAGGGTCCTGCTACTTAAACATACCTGGGATGGGATATCCAGACAGACAGGGCTGGGACCTGACTCTGCTCCCAGCCCATCACACGCTTATATTTCAAACACAGTATTGGTACCTAAATTCAAACCCTGTTAGTATTACAAAATAGGAGCTTTGTATTGAAGGTGTGCAGGCTCTGAGCTCTATGGGGCGGGCTGGTGACTACGGGAATACCTACTCAGAACGGATACATGGAGTATCTTGTTTGGAGTGAACTCCAGGGCTCTGACCAATGTTGTGAGGCCCTGGAAGGTCTGCTCCTTTGCTGTCTGCCCAACTTTACCTCCCATGAGCCTCCCTCCCACTGACCCTTCCAGCCACACACGGCTCCCTGGGGCCCTGCCTTCTGCGCACGCCCCTCCCTTAGGCACCCCGAGGCCGCCCTCTCAGATACCCACTCACCGTGTGGATGCGAGTCCACAGCAATGGCTGTCGCAGTATGATTCAAGGTAAGCTGACAAACCCTCTTGTGGCCTCTGGGTTCCCTTTTGTAGTTTAGTTCAATAAACCGCAGCTCCTTCTACATTAAAAGCAATCTCAAAAATGCTTGAGGTGATGGGGAAGGGATTTGCCCTCATCTAATTTAGGCTGAGCTAGCAACACTCAGATCTGGGTGGAGTCACCACGTGCCTGTTCTGGATGAGGTGGGGATGGGGGGACGCTGCTCCACGCCCTGGGTTGACCGTTGAGGAGCTTCAGGTGACGGTGGTGTCAGGACTGGCTAGGTGGACTCTGCAGGGACACCTACAGCACCTGTAAATCTTACAGAGCTCTTCTCTGTCCCCCATGGCTGGGCATTAGAGTGGACACCCAGATTTCTGCCAGAACAAGAGGCAACCGACTGGGAGAGGCTCAGATTCCCCTCAGCAACATCCCAAGTGAGGAGATGCAGTGGCCACCACACAGGGCGACCGAGACACGCAGCTTTGCTTAATGACAAAGACTCGCTTGTGCTTTAGGGTAATAATGTGAGTACTCTGTGAAATCTCTACATGTTTCAGAACTTGCAAAAAAACTAAATTAAAGGTTTGTTTGTATTTGCAAGGATAAAATTGTAAATTTAGGTAATATAAAAGTCTCTACAGTTAGGCTTTGAAAACTAAGGAATTTTGAATTTAAATACTGATGAGGTTTTCTCTGTATTTAAAATGTAAATTACTATGTATTAAATTCAGCTTTATACATGAAAACCAGACATCTGTACTACACACCCAAGAAGTAAAGAATTCATTTTATTTCCTTGATCACCCAAAAGGGTCTTATGTATACAAAATCCAAATCACAGAACACATCAAAATACTCTTTCTTCATTAGAGGGATGCATTGCATGACACCTTTACAAGAGCCTTTCTTTGAGTAAATTATAAAAAATAGGGTCTTGAACAGATGAATGGATTGACAGAAAACAGAGTGGCAAGGAGCAGAGATAGACCAGCACGGAGCTTGGAAATTCTGTCTCTACTTCACTCAGCAATGAAATTAGAGTATCAGCAGAAGCATAATGCCAAGACAACAGCATCGTGAGCAGTCCATGGCCGCCGGCCTCTTACCTGGTCCCTGGTCCCTCCAGTGCTGTCCTTGGCCTGCCCGGCTGTACCCGGAGCTCGTCCTGTGGGAGCCAGATCCCTGCCTCCCCCACCTGCCTGTGGGGACACGTGATCAGCACGTTAGGAGGCTACCACAGGCCTAACCCCAAGTGACACATTACATCTAAGAGGGTAGCAAGGCGGCACCAGGTCCATAGTTCTCAAGCTTCGGTTTCCTTAAATCACAGGGAAAGCCCATGAAAAATATGGACTGAGGGGCCACAGCTGGGATGGGAGGGTGGACGTCTGAATTTGAACATGTTCCCCCAGAGAGGACCTGTGCAGGTGACAGACGAGCAGCCTGGAGGACGCTGGGCCAGAGCAGGGCCCGTGGTCATCAGTTCTGACTGACCCTGCCTCCCGAGGACAAGGGCCCAACTCTGCAGGCCACCAGCGCTTGGGCTCTGGGTGAGCAGGGGTCCCGGGACTCGGAGAGCCAGACCACGGTGTGCGCTCCCCTCGATTCTCCACATACTTAACCACCCTCAAGTTTCCTCTCTGACATTCCTGAGCTCTGACACCTTCTACCCCTTGGTCTCCACTAGAATTTAACATGAGAAAGTCTGACTAAGCTCCTGCCAGCTGAAAGCAGCCTGCATTCTGCTGCCTGCAGCTTCTGCTCAGGAACCCGAGGCACTGGGCACGCAGGACAGGCCGCCAGCCCAGTCTGGGCACAGGCAACAGAGGCAGAGTGCTGCGCATCTATTTTGCAAGGAACAAGCTCTTGTTCTGGGGTCTCAAACCCTGCCTACCCTCAGTTGGCGGGAGAAAACTAAAGGGCAGACAAAAGGGCAGGACGAGGCGGGAGCCTGTGACCCCGGGAAGCAGGGAGGGAGCCCCGCTCCTACCCCCCAACTCTCCTTCAGGCAGGCCCCAAATTGTCTCTCAGAATGAGACCTGCATGGCCAATGGCCAGCAGAGCCCCCGAAGACAGTCTGGGGGGTAGGAATCAGGGGGCGTTCTCTAACCCCTCCAAGGAGAGAGAGGGAGCTGCTACAGTGAGAGGCACGGACCCTAACGAAGGAGGACGTGAAATAATCCAACTCATCAACAAGCTGATCTCTAAGACAGCCAACTTCCCGAATAAAGAATCATCCGGTCAATAAGAAACACTGTTTCATCTCACACGTTAGTTAACTGGTGAACGCAACAGAAGCTCCTCATCACTGGTGAAGGTGTAGAGGTGAAGGTTTTTAGAAAACAAGTTGGCAACATTTATCTAAATTTGACTGCATGTTGACCTAGAGTTTGCAAACTAAGGTGCTCTGTTTTAAGGAAATAATGTACATAAAATGGGAAAAAATGGAAGCCACTTCCAAGCTGGAGTACTAAGCATACGCATGCGCACCACTGTCGGAGGGGAGTATGGACAAGCAGGATGCACAGTTGCACAGGAGATCATCACGATGAGATAAAAGCACAGAAAAATAGTGCAAAAACACATTACCTGTCCACATTTGTGCTCTTGACAGAATAAAGGTTATTTCTATTTCCTTTTGTTTTCTATGCTAAGTTTTATTACGAGAAGAAAGAGAGCCCACAGGGGACTTCTGCGTCATAGGATGAGCAGGGGTGCCCTCTGGGAGACACCTTTCCTAAAGGGACCAGAACTGAAACTGCTAGGTAGCAGCAAGCGTGGTAAGTCTGCATTGCATCCCAACCTCCCGGGCCGTCCTGCATTGTAAGGCCAGCCCCGGCAGGGGTGGGGGCCCGCGATGCCCACCTGGCTGGTGTGAGCGCCAAAGCTGCCTGCTGATGATGCGTCTGTTCTCCTTCACGCACGCCTTGCACACGACCGACTTCAGTGTGTGGAACTTGGTCAGCCGGGACCTCTACAAACGAGCAGACGGTGTGAGCAGTGGCAGGCCTGTGCATGCACTCAGGAGACACAACAGTGGCCACGGAGTCCAAGGACACTGGGTGAGTGTTTCCTTCAACACTGAAACTTAACAAGAGGTTCTCAGAAAACTGACATTCTCCTGAGTCCCCAGGAAAATAACATTAGCGCTACATCCCTTCTGGTCTTCTGCAGGTTAAACAGTCACTTCCAAAAGATCTCCGAGTTCTGTGGTGACATCTGGGCCACGACCACACAGTCCTTCCAAACAAACCTGGGCCGGTCATCTGGGTCCTCAGCCCCTCAAGTGGTGACACTTCAGAAGCAGCAGCAGTGGGGCAAGGGATGGACCTGCCCCTCCGGGCCACTTCATTTACTGCTGACACGTGGCCCCATCTGCCTGAACCTGAGGTCACCCTGTGCGTGGCCAGAACATCAGTCATGGGGCCACAACTGGGGGTTTGCAGGTGGTGACTGCAGTCTGCTCTGCTCTGACCCTTCCCCATTCCCGAACACGGGGACAAGCCCGATCTGAGCAACACCCTCCCTCATGACCCTGCCGCTGTCTGCACACAATACTAGCTGCTCCTAAATCCCAAAGGACACCCTGGGTTTTTGTTTGGTTTTTGTTTCTCTCTGAATGTTTTCTGTCTGATGTGAAGCTCAGGATGCTTTATTCTCATGGATGGTGACTGCTCTGCGGGCCGCAGGGTCTCGCGCATACTTGCAGCTATTACAGCATGCTCCAAGTGAGCTTGGCGGGAGCCTTCCTTGGAAACCGCCCAGGAATCATGGAGCCTGGACATCGCATAGCCAACAACCCCAACTAAACCAGCAGCCTTCAGGGGATATTTTCAAGTAAATACATGGTCATTGTTCCTATTGAATTAGTCTGATGTCTGCAAAGGCACCTCTGGGGAAACATTCCTTCTTGATTCAAGAAGGGTAAGGGAGAGAAAGCCCTTCAAGAGGGGGCCGTGGGGGACTGGGTGGGTGCTCCCTGCCATCCCTCAGCAGGAGTTTGGGGACTCAAGCCCTATGGCAGTATTTTGGGAGAAGCTATGGGATATGCTGACGCTGAAGCTTTCAGCCTCCCAACCTGTGTTTCTGCCTTCCTGGAATAATGCAACCCTCTATCAAAAGAGCAGTAATTTCAACCATGTAATCAACAGTGAGTGTAAACTGGATAAAATTTCAAAGTCTGGGAACATGTCTGTCCTCCACTGGGACGTTTCTGGGAGACATGTTTGCTGGGCCAGAGAGAACTCATGTCTGGCCAAGGACTCTGAGCATTAGGATGCATTTGGGCACCTGACCTCAAACCTACTGTCTCTGAACGTGAAGAAACCGTGAACTCACATTTTGTTCCACGAGAGCCTCCACGGTATACCCTTTCTCCGCCTGCAGGTACTTCTGATGAAACAGCTTCCCGTCAAATACATTCCAGGGCATGAAGTCACTCATCCTCCAGGGGAAGCCGCACGCGCTGTTGACCAAGACCAGAGTGGTGAGGCCACGGACCAGGAGGGAGGCAAGCTGCACAGCTCGGGGGTCGATGTAATCAAGCTGTGGGGTGCAGACAGAGAACAAAAAGGAGGGGTCACGCACACGGGGACGCAGACACGCCGTACCTCGGCGCTGCATGGCAGCCACCTGGTGCTGTGCCCACCAGCCCCCTCGGGGAGCGCCGCTGACCACGGGGACATGAGGCGCAGCTGCATCACGAGTGTGCACGCTCATGTGCACACCCACTGTGCACACCCCAGACATTTGCCCAGGCCTGTGTGTACAACTCAGAACTGCCCCTTCACATGTCAAAGCTGCAGTCCACCAGGAAAATACTGCAAGTTCATCTGCTTCAGGTGTACCTGGAAAAGCTTTCTTTAAAAGCAAAGCAAAGGAAGAGAAGCCAAGAGAGTACCGTTTGAGATACTGATGAGCTCACTGTATTCTTAAAAAGCACACTCAGTTGTTCTAATTAAAGTATTAATTGTCTCATAGGGCTGATGAGTGGATAACTTTTTACAAATTAAGTCATACAAATATAAAGTATTTCTTTTTGTTGTCAAATCTACCCTGACATCACACATTCTCACTGTGCGTGGACAGAGCCATGTCTGCTTCTGGGATGCAGGGCCCATGCTGACGGCCCACATGTGAACGGATAACCTAGCATGTGTCCACCGAATCTCTCGGTGTCTGGCTGACCACCACGGCTCAAATTAAATAGTGGCTATTTTAAATGTCACTGCATATCCAATACAGTTTACAAAACCAAAATAAACCATGAAAGAAGTCACAGATGTTTTATCCCCTTTATAAGTAAGGGTTCACTTCACTTAAAATAAAACTGATCATCATTTTAAGAAAGTTATCATGAGGGCGCCTGGGTGGCTCAGTTGGTTAAGCAACTGCCTTCGGCTCAGGTTATGATCCTGAAGTCCCGGGATCGAGTCCCGCATCGGGCTCCCTGCTCAGCAGTGAGCCGGCTTCTCCCTCTGACCGTCTTCCCTTTTGTGCTCTCTCTCATTCTCTCTCTCAAAAAAAAAAAAAAAGTAATCATGAACTGTGATTACCCCAGAGTTAATCTAAGGTTTGTTTTGTTTTGTTTTTTTATTAAAGATTTTACTTATTTAGAGAGCTCGAGAGAGCATGAGCAGGGGGAGCGGCGGGCAGAGGGAGAAGCAGGCTCCCTGCTGAGCAGGAAGCCTGACGCGGGACTTGATCCCAGGACCCTGGGATTATGACCTGAGCCAAAGGCAGACACTTCACTGACTGAGCCCCCCAGGCGCCCCACTCTAAGGTTTAATGAAAGTGTGTTTGTTGTACAGCACAGCTTTTTATACTGTCCCAAAAAGGGCAACCACGGAACAGGTTTGTGAGGCTGAGGGGACGCTGATTGATGAGAAGTGGATGTCCTCACTCCTTCTGCTCTGCAGGCACCTGCAGGTGAGGCCTGTGCTGGCTGGCCGCTCCCCATCATGCTACGTGGCCCACCTCTGGCCCTGCAGCACTCTCCGCCACCTCACTGTGCATCGAGCTCTTGCACTTCCCCAACTATACACGTGCTGTCACTGCCTGTCTAGAACTGCCCCGTCCTAGGGCTCGGGGTCACGTGTGGCTCAGCCCTCCTGTCTGGACAATGGACCACGGGATAACTGGACTCCAGAAGGTCCCATCTTCTCTACCTCCTTCTTGCAAACTTCAAGCAGCCCTGAGCTTCCCCACCCCGGCCCCATCACCGTAGGCTCTCGCCCCAGCGCTCAGACCACAGTGACTACTCGGTGTCAGACCAGCCTGTGGGAAAGGCGCCCTGATAACAGATGTGACGTATTTTTTCCGCGTGCTGGGGGCACGTCTCTTTTGGTAGATTTTTCTGTAATGGAATCAATTCTTGTTCCTGTCTTGTGTTCATCACTTCTGTACCTACCTGTCTGTTTTAAAGTAAATTATAAAGGAGGTATACCAGCCCCAAAGCATGGATCCCATGTGCACCACGTGAATTTTCACAAACGTGCAACCACCACTTAGGCCACAAAGCACATGCTGCTAGCATCACAGAAGCCCCTGCTGGCCTCCCTGTCACCCTCACTGCCCCCGAAAAGTAAGCTCTAACCACCCCAACTGTAGCTGGTTTTACACGCTTGTGAATTTACAAGAACCAATCAGGCAGCGTGTGTACTGCTGTCTCTGGCTTCTTCTGGGGACACTCCTCGTGAGGCTCGCCACACCGTGAGCAGCAGGGCTGTCCTCACTGTCATAGCGCACACACCACACACGGGCTTTCCACAGGGAATGCTGGGATTCTATGCGTGACTCTGGGGATCACGGACACCTTTAAATGGGGAGTCTTCTTTAAGTTAGATTCTTTCAGAAATGTTGTGCCTGTCTTGGAGAGATTTTGTATAGATTTTTGTTTTTTGCTGTTTCATGTTCTTTCTTTGCTGTTAGTGTAAACATAAAAAAAACTGCGGGGTTATTTTTACTTGCTATTGTTTTATAGAATACATTTGGGTTGTATATGCTGACTTTGTATCTAGCACCTGTTAAGTCTGGTTACTAATTCTAAGGGCTGTGCTCTGTAGACATGATTTTCTATTTATACAATCATGCCATCTGTCAATGATGATAAGTTTTATTTCTTCTAAACCCTACACCTTTTATTTCTTTCCTCAGACTGCTCTTCTTGCCAGGGCTCCCAGTTTAACAGAAGTGCTGAAAGAAGGTACCCTTGACTCACTCCTACTAGAGAGGAAAATCTTGCAATATTTCACCGTTAAGTATAATTTCTGCTATAGATTTTAATCTTTGCTACATTAAGGAAGTAGCCTTCTAGTCTGAGTTTACTGAGAGTTATCATGAACAAGTACTGAATTTAACCATAATAGTTTTTCTGCACCCATTAACAAAAACATACGCTTTTTCTTATTTATTGTGTTATACTGAATCACACTGGTTTTCAAATGTTAAATCAACTTTCTATCAATTTTATGTATTGCCAGATTCAATCTGCTAATTTTTGTCTGGAAGTTTTGAATTTATTTTCATGAAACAGAACGGCCTCTAATTTTCATGTGTTCTCATGTCTTTGGTACCAAGGTTTTGCTGGATTTGTTAAGACAAGCTGGATTAATAACCCTGATGCTGCTTCTTCCTGAAGTTTAGGGCTGTTGGCCAGGAGCCATTGGGATTTGCATTTTCCTTCAGAGTCAATGTGTTCAGTAGATTTATAACCATTTAGATTCCCTATCTTCTCATTTCAGTCTTATTATGTTGTTTTTCAAGGAATATGTTCATTTACCTAACCATCCAAATTTACTGGTACAGTGTGGTTCCTAATATCCTCTGATTCTCTCTTTTTAAAAAAGTTTTTTTTTTTTAAGATTTTATTTATTTAATTGACAGAGGGAGACACAGCGAGAGAAGGAACACAAGCAGGGGGAATGGGAGAGGGAGAAGCAGGCTTCCCACAGAGCAGGGAGCCCGATGCGGGGCTCGATCCCAGGACCCTGGGATCATGACCTGAGCCAAAGGCAGACGCTTAACGACTGAGCCACCCAGGCGCCCCTAAAAAAGGTTTTTCTTTATTTTAGAGAGTGAGCGAGCAAATGAGTAAGGAGAAGGGCAGAGGGTGAGGGAGACTCTCAAGCAGTCTCCATGCTGCCTCCTCTCACCATGACCTGAGCCAAAACCAAGAGTCGGACACTTAAGCGACTCAGCCACACAGGACAGTTAATATGCCAGGCTTTGCTGGCCTTGTATAGTCTCTGTTGAATGTTCTTCTTTTTTAGAAACAACACTTTAAAAATATAAAAACCATTCTTAGCTTGCAGGACGGTACAAAAACAGGCTGTGGGCTGGATTTGGCCCACAGGGCCATTGTGTGCTGAGCCCTGTTCTCAAGTCTGTCACTGTAGGGTTTCTCTTTGCCATCCTGCCAATCTTCGTTTCAAATATTTCTGAAGCTGCCCATGCACACTGACCCAGTCAGAGAGTCACTGGCACGCTCCTGGTGCTGACCATCACGCTCTCTCTAGTGAGGATCCCCACTCGAAGTCCACTTTTTCTCATCTAGTCACACCGGCTCCTTAGGGTGAGTGCACAGTGCACCTTGCCCTCATCTTCCAGCGTCCTGGCGTCCCTCCACCTTAGACGTGTGTCTCGTAGGCAGCACATGGTTGGTTCGGGTTTCTTATTTTGCAATGACAACAGATCCACAGGAAGCTGCAAAGGTTGTACGGAAGGTCCCACAGATGCACCCTCATCCCCCGCAGTGCTAACACCCTACATTCCACAGTGCGGCATCAAGACCAGGAGACGGGTCCTTCCACATGCACGGACGTGTGTGATGTCACACACACCATCTGGGTAACCACCACTACCACCATCAGATACGGAGCCTCCCTTGTGCAGAGCCCTGCCCTGCCCCAGCCTCCATCTCTCCAACCGTGGCATTCTGGGAGTGTAGCCGTGTGGGGACTGGCTTCCTCATTCAGCACAACCCCCTGAGATCTGCTCATGCTGCTGTGTGTGTCGGGCCCTCCCTCTCAAGGCTGGCCCCACCCCACAGTGTGGACGGGCCAGCTGGTGTGAGCGTTTGCCTAGTTAAAGACATTGTTCTTGTTCCCAGCTCCTGCTGTCACATGTGCAGCTGCTGGGAACGCTCACGTCCAGGTCTGGGGTGAGCAGAAGTCTTCACTTTCGCGGGACAAAGGCCCAGGAGGGGGACTGTTGAGGCATGCGGTAAGTGCATGCTTAGCTTCCTAGGGAGCTGACGCACCTAGCCAAAGCGCTCCCACCGCCGTGTAGGAGACTGGTGTGCAAGTACCCATCCTCCTCGAGGGGCCTGCCGCTGTCACGGGGTGCGGTCTGGGCTGTTCTGCACCCGGCCCCTCACCACAGCTTTAATGAACGCTGAACAACCTTCCACATGCTTGTTTGCCAGGCAAACATCTTTTTCAGTGAAATGTCTGTTTACATCTTTTGCCCACTTTTTAAGCGGACTGTTTGGTTTTTACTACTGAGTTTTGAGACTCCTTATATTTTCTACTTACAAGACCTTTGTC